AGGACGACTGTATTAGACGTGTGATTGGTCCACTGTATCCAGCGTCCTCTCTTCAGTTGAGACAAGGCGGAGCTCTTGTTTAAAAACTTACCTGGGTAAGTTCACGTCTTCTTTTTTTGATCACATGTAAAGTTCAGTCATCAAAAATTTGGTTGTTTATGTTGTTTTATTTTGGTGTTACAGAGTTAACTTTTAGAAATCTACTACAGGCAGTAGGACAAACAGTACCTGTGTGCAGTCAGTGAAAAAACAAAAACAAAAACAAAAACAGATGAGGTAAAAAGGCTACAGCGTTACAAGTCACAACACTGTTCCAAAAAAAAAAAAAAAACGTATTTCTGCAAATATATACTTTTTACTTACTAATATGTACACAGCATGAAATAAATAATTATAAAAAAAACTTTAGAAATTCATAAAAACGCAAGAACTAGTTTGTACAAAACTTTGGATTTAAAGAATTAACAAAAACAAAGAAAAAAACAAAACAAATTAGAACAGAACCAAATTGTCCACACAAGCAATCACTCACATATAAAGTGTACAGTAATGAATGCGACACAACCGATCTTGTTGTGTTGTTTATTAAAGATGACTTGAGATGTGAAACTGGTTATGGCTGTTTGTTAATATTTGTCGGTCATCGGTAATCCTGGTTGGGCAATTTTGAATAAAATCAGAGACGTGTACATGCCTGAGACGAAGCGTTACGTGGGCTGTAAACATGAACTGATGGGAAACGTCACACATCGATCAGACGAGCACTGATGCACAAGTTTTCATAAACTTTCTGTCTCAGCTTTCAGTAGTTTTTTTTTTTTCACTTTCCAAATAAATAAATACTGTTTTGTACTTCTTCGCAGATTAAGGGAGAGCAACATGAATTTTATCTGCCCTGATGTTTAGCATCACAACAAAATCACAAGCAACTAAAATAACATATCAAACTCTATTTTGGTCTATTTGGTTAAATGGGAATTACTGGATGCAAGAATTAGTCAAACTTCACTTTTTTTTTTCTTTTTCTTTTTTTAACCAAACTACATATAATAGACTTCTTTCACAGAAAGAATCGACACATGCAAAGAATACACATAGATGGACAAAGACGCACAGTATGTAAGGACCTAAACACACACACACACACACACACACACACACATACACATATTATCTTAGCAGCATTAAAATAAGGGAAGTATTGATAGTTTCAGTGATGCTGCTTGTTGTTTAGTTTGGGGAACAAGAAGCCACAGCTGGGAATCGTCCCATGCACAGGTTTTGGTCATCGTTTTTACAGCAACTGCAAATTATGCTGCTTTATGCGTTTTACTTTTACCAGGGTGCACACCTCTATTTGATCAAACAAAAGAATATTACTTGTGTATGAAGGAAACAAACAAATATAGTGGGAATTTCCCTTTTTTTATAAATAACAGCTTTCCCCACACCGAGTCACATGACACACTGCTAATACTGTTAATAACAAGGAGAACATGCTTCATATTTCTCAACGGGACACAAGTGCTGATCTTTCAGACTCACTTACAGCTCTCTGACCATCACAGACTCACGGAGAGGAGGAGGAGGAGGAGGAGGAGGAGGAGGAGGAAGAGGGGGTTTCTTTTTTCTTTCTTGTCTTTGGTCATAAATCTCGATGTTGTTCAAAGTGTTGTTGCTCTTTAGAAATAGCTTCAGGTGTTTCAGAAGAAAAAAGGAAAAGAAAAATGTGCAGACTGTGTGTATTCTTGTTCAGTGGATGTGGCTCATGTCTACTCTCAAATCGAATTAGTCGTTTAAAGCAGATATTAACTCGTTAGCTTAAGAATTTGAGAATATGTAAACACGTTACAGCAAATAACTACATTCACTCAGGTGCAAGTGCATTCTTACACAGACATCAGTGACGTGAAACACTACGCGACAAAAACTCACTCACGCAATGATGGTGTTAGTTTTCAGATATACACATACATACTAATCATATGGAGGAGGAGGAGAACGCATGCTGTTGAGTGTCTGATCGTGTAACATGTTGATTAAACATTGAAGAAAATGTTCATTTTCAATGAAATTTCCTTTTTCGTTCCATGAAAGCATTGGCAGCGCTGTGCTATTCTCAACAAAACGTACTACTTAGAACACAGGAAGAAAAAAAAAAAAAAATCACCAATATGGTGTTTGTCATTTAACCAACAGTTCTGCTTTTCCTACATCAGCACGTGAAACTTTTTCTCGTTTCCTTTTCGCCAGCGTCACCACCGCCACAGTTCGTAAAGGTGATGCTTTCAGGTGTCAACGTCTGCTCCACGGGTTCAGCTGACGGAGGCAGAGACTGGCTCTTTGTAGCATCACGGCTCAAAACACGAGGCCGCTGTGTGTCGGACAGCTTCACAGTCGCTCATGTCTCGCGCCTGCGTTTGCTCTTCTGCCTACTGAAGTCTGGAAATTTTGGTGAAAAAAAAAAGACGAGAACCTTCTACATCTCTACTTGCAGGTGTGCACGTCGTAGACTCTCACGCACTCCTGACAGCTGACGTAGCAGCACCAGTGGAAAATACAGTGACACTTCTCCTTTCTCCTCTCAGTCCGGGTGTTGTGACCTCTGCCGCAGCACAGCAGGTCGCAGCCGTCGATGCCGTGCGACGTCAGGTTGCAGATTCGATCCCGAGTGCCGAAGGAGCCCGTCTCGGGATTGGGGTCGCAGAAATTGGGTGAGCTTTCGTAATAAACCAGGTCGCGCTCTGTGGGGGGTTTGAAGTAGTTGTACTTGGGCCTCAGGGTCTCCACCCACCCACGGGACTCCTTATGCTTCTCCACCACCATCTCCGAGGCGCTGTCATACTTATCCTTCATGTAGTCGCCAATAACTCGGAAGTCAGGCTGAGACCACCAACACGTCTTCACCTCACAGCTGCCCGAGAGCCCGTGGCACTTGCACTTCAGAAACATGTTGTCGTTCAGGGACTACAGACACAAAAACACAATAACATTGACTTAATACAGCATCTGAGAGAACTGCTAAACACAATGAGCAAAATAAGACAGACTGAAGAGTACCAACCATCCTTCCTGCCTCGTTGTTGTGCCGGTTCATCGCTGAGCGTGCATCGGGCCGATTCTCCCTCGCGTCAGCAAACTCCCGGGACACCATGCTCCCAAACTCCACGTCCTCGCTGCAGCCTCCCCACTTCCACCCCTCTCCTGGGGGGCCCTTGTGACGTGTGTCGCATCCGCAGATGGTGGCCGAACCCTCGGCGCAGGCTCGGGTCACTGCAAACGCCACTCCCGCTGAGGCGATGGCGTGAACGAAAGCTGACTCGCGAGTGGCTGGAAAGAGAATGACGGAGATCTGTGAGAGATCCGGTAAAGCTTCAGAAAAATCCTGCAGAGGAACACGTTTGCAGAAGTTTCTTGACGCTAATGCCTGTTTTCTGGATTAAAGTTATAAAGAAGTGAAGAAAACTTGCAGCCATCACTTGTTATTTATGTTTGTATTTGTTCTTGTATAATTACATAACCAACAAAACAAAACAAGATCAAACAAACTATACATACTGAGTCCATTATTACCGCTGGTTACATGTGTTTAGGTTGCATCTACCAATGTGTACCAGTGTGTGGGTTCATTCAGCCCACACATCAATCGTCCTGTCTCTGAATAAGGCCAGCAAGGCCTCAATGTCTCTGTCTGACATAGCTAACTGATGAGTCAGAGGGATCAGGATCTTCCAGAGAGATGAGAGGAAGAGACGAGCCTGACAGGCCTATAATTAAGAGACTCAATTAAGCTTTTGAAAGGTTAGGAAACAGACTCACACTGAGGGGACAACACATAAACACAACATGGAGACGAGTCTCCAGTGACCAGATACGCAGACCCAAAGGAGACGACGGGTTTGAAAGAAGGACGCTTTTCTTGTTTCTTGCTTTAATCCATTAAAGTCTGAAGCGTATACCTGTGTGTGTTTACAGGAAACCAAAGTCTAAATGGGTTAACAGGGTCCATTATGTCAGGAAGCCTGCTTTGAATATCCATGTAATCTTGCACAATCACAAGAAAAGACAGGAAAAGCAAAGACAAGAGCAAGAAAACAGACGTGAACGTTGTAGACTGGAGCAAAGAAACAGGCAGAAATGGTTAAAGATCAATAGTGGAGTCTGGGCTGGTGTGTGTACACGTGTTTGAGGGAAACAGAGCATGTTTCTGTCTGAAGAACAAAAACGATAGAGGGAAAGAAAGAAAAGAAAGAAGGAAGGCGTATAAAGCTAAAGGGAGTAGGAGCTCCTCCCTTGCAGCAGGTTCCAACCAGTTTGAGGACTAAGGGGCATTAGAAACAATGATGCAAGAGAAAAGGTCTACTGGCATCCTCCACCACCCGTTTCATACCACCGCTGAATACGTACAAGGCTTCTAATGTTCACAACACACCTAAACCTCTGCTCTCCTTCCTCCAATCCCGCTCTCTGCATCCAGCGCAGACCACTTCACTCGCTATTGTTTTGTTTTCTGGGCAAATCGAGGCAGAATGTAAATCACAACACGAGGAAACTGTCTCCAGTGATTAATTACGTATCGCCACGCATCATCTAAGACCGACAGAGTAAGAGCTTCATGTTTATAATTTTTGTGTTATGACCGAATTGAAGTGAATGTCTGAGGTGCTGGTCCTGTAATAATCCAAAATGTCAAGTTATTTTTAAAACAGATTCCACTTCAGGGGCTGATAAGAGATTGTGTAACTAAAAGCTGAGCCAGAAACAACTTCACCCAATCGGAACTGTTTGAACCAATACTGATGCTTCTTTGTTGAACAAGACTGCATCATCAGCATATGCATTAATTTAATTTCGCTCATCACAGAACTGAAGAAAGTATGAAGGCTGTGGCGGTAGACTGGAACCCACAGGAATGCCTCGGGAAACTACGGATGACTGGCAGTGATTCTGCAGAGCGTAACAGGACGGAGGAGTGGGAATGGGAGAAAGAGGATTATCCTGATGAAATGAGCAAAAAGGAGAAGGACTGGGGCAAATATATAGAGTCCTGACACCTCTGTGTGAGACTGGAGGGGCTAACCTAGGAAAAAGATGATGTACGGAGGTGTGTAAGGTCCCAGACATCCTGTGACAAGCGCCTCGATTTCCAACTAATGAAAAATGAAAAAATCTCATTGGCAGTGCACAAAACTTTGATTTCAGTTGAGATTGAAGCTCATGAAATCATCATTAACTAAAATTGACGGTTTACAGGGAAAACTTTGAGCCATGACATTTACCTCGATATGGTTTCAATACCAAACCATATTTTAAATGTCTGTTTGGGCCATTTAAACTGATAAAACACCCAATGCAACATCTGGGCCTAAATACACCTGTAATAGCTTTTACTTCACCTGGCAACGCCGCCTCCTACGCTGCTTTTCTTAGGTTTACGACCAATTTATGGTATTTAGGGACACTTTATCTCAGACAATGCTTTTCCACCAAACCTTGCCAGACCCTGGCAGGCCAAGTGGTCCCTACAACCTGCTGGGGGGTTGAATCCCCTATTGTGCTGCCACTGTCACGCTGTGTTAGTCCCACAATGGCCCCAGATATTTTATATGAAATTTGCCCTGGCTAGTGATTAGTGGGGACCAAGTTAAGTCATAGCAACAGAGAACTATGCATTGGCTGGACCCCGCTTGTCGGCAGACAGGGAAATCCCTATTCAAATGGTTTAATAAAACAATCTAAAGGGCGTGTGAATGGGGAAAAGCACTTTTTCTCCTGCTTAATCTCATGGTTGCGAAGATATTGTGCTCTGAGCAGTGCCCAGCAGGGAGTGGGGCTAAGGTCCCCCCATCAACTCCATTTACCACACCCTTTCTTTCTTTCTTGCCCAGAGTTAATGATATACTGGTGCGCCAGCTTCCCTCCCCCAGCATGGAGAGACATACGTCTGGTGAAAAGCAGAGACCTCTTAGCTCATCCTAAATAGTTACACTTTCTCATCCTCAGGTCATAGGTCGTAACCAACATCCTCTGACCTTTTCCTGCTTAGCTTAGATGGGACTTGATGATGTCGGTTAATTTATTAGGTGTGTTTCCTGGCCAGGGTGTATGCACGTCTGCTGGGAATGCAGGTTAGATGGAAGAGCACAAAACTTTGCAGCTCTCTTTACACGTTTTAAATGTTACATAAGAGGACTATCCTATGAGTCTCGTTTTAATTTAATGGTTTCAAGTGGAGCAGTGACTGTGCATGTCTTCGCCTGTATGGGTGGCAACACCTGGGAAACTGTGACTGTCCACTTTTCTGTAGCAGCGTTGCCCTTACTAATTCTATCACATGACTCACAAACCGGGGCCTGATTTAGTACGTAGGTGTTCTGTAAATACCGAGAATGCCGAAACCGCTCTGGGATCGGCTCGGCGGACTAAGAACACCTGCGCAGCTTTCTGTTACCTTTCATCACAGGCAGATTCCAGCAGTGCATGTTTTGACACTTTAGTTAATGTAAATTAATGAGCGCTGACGCAGACGTAGCCTAGAGGTAGGGTTTGTGATTTGGGGTGTGGAGAGAGAGAGGGAGGTTCAGATATGAAGAATATGTCGGTTTTAAAGGCAGGAGTGACTCTTAGATGAATGTTTATGTGTGGTCCAACGAGTGCATTTTTTTTTATGCGTATTTTAACACAAGACCGTGTAAGTGATTAAAGAAAACCATACAAAGTGTTTCCCATTCATCCTCTTGTTCTTTTAGTTGCACTCTCTCTTCTCTTTTTCTTGTGCTCCATCTTAATCCACCACTGTAAAACAAACTTCCAGTGTCCTCGGTGAAGGTGAGGTGGACACTGATGTGATAACTGACAGTGACTAAGCCTCTGGAGCAAATGAAGGCGCCCACTATTCCTTTCAGCTCCGGCTACAAAAAAAAAAAAGAAAAAAGAAAAAAGAAAAAGGCAGGAGGAAACTGACACACAACAGTCTGAATTGCAGACAAACAGACACCAGTGAGGACAATGGCCCTGTTGCACAGACAAACACTAGCATCAATCAAATCCAATGAAATGGAAGCCCTCTCCTACTAAGCCCTATCAAAGGCCTGTGAGCCCCTGAGCCACTCTCCTTGGCCTCTGACAAAGGCACTTAATCCAGCCACTTTGACCTCTCACATTATTAAGGGCCCGAGTGACCTTAATCCAATCAAAATGATTTACTAAAGCCCAGTGGCTGCCTTCTCTTTCCAGTCAGTACCCCTGCAATTTAGGCCTGGGAGGGGAGGCAATGGGAAAGATGCGGTGGCATTTTGCACCACAATAGGTTTGGGATTGAGAACCCCTATCGTTAGCCACCTACTTGAGCTCGAGTCTCTTCTATCAACTGGCTCGAGAGTTTATTAAAAGCAATTGCCCCGACTGACCTCCAACCCCTCGTGTTTGCATCAATCTTCTGTAAACTGGGCGACTAGTTTAGATCCACCGTGTTCTGCACTCGCTCTCGATTTTAAAGTCGCTACTTCAGGATATTAGCAGGAAGCAACAACAGCAATACTGGAAGATTTTGAGAAATCAGTAGCGCTCTTGTTTCTGTAAATTAAATGTTAAAGATACAGCCAACAGCTGGTTAGCTTAGCTTAGCACAAACACTGGAAACGGAGGGAATCTGCTAGCGTGGCTCCATCTGAAGGTAACAAACCCGTCTTCCAGCACCAGGTAACATGTTTTATCGTGTTTGCTCAGTTTGTATCAAGTACATTGACTCCTGAGTTCACTCACGTATGGAATTAAAAATAGATTTTTTTTTTCTTAGGTTTGTGGGCTTGTTGTTTTTTTTTTAAACTATGTATTGGAGAGTGGGGATTTCTATAGCTTGAACTCATAATTAAACACATACCTAAAAGTCATAATCGCGTAATCTAACGGAGGGGGAGAAAAATGTATTTTGGAATAACTCCATAACCCAGTTCAGTTCAAAATGTTGTGTAAGGTACTTCAGAGGAAAGTACAGCAGTCCCAGGGGATCCCCTCCTAAAGAAAACTCCAACAAGACAGAACTCACTCAGCTAATTGTGTACATTATTTCATGCATACAGGCCCCTCAGAGCGTGTTCAGTCCAAAGTCTATTTAAACAAGGCTTTGAATCAGCATAATGAATGGTGCACGCAGGGAGCGCAGCTTTTCTAATGCAAATATAGGATAAAGAGAATATAGAATTGTTAATGGAAGAGTTAATCAGCACAGAGACACAATAAGTCACTTTTAGTTTTTATATTTTTAGGCGGTTTTGAAGTCGCCAAGACTTCCAAGAACTCTGTCAGAGGGTCTAACATCCTCAAACACAAACGTGGGGTCGGTGGGGACAGGCAGCACATTGAAAGCGACGACTACACTCAGCCACACTTTCCGTTTGAAGCTAGTGTGTTGCTCTAATATCACATTTTTACAGGTAATTCAATTCTGCTGCCGTAACTAAATTCTTGTTTACAGGCAAGTAGCAATATTACAAATGCCACCGAAGGAATAAACTCTTTTTTACCAGACGTTTAAGCTTGCAAGCAGAACTCAGGTTGTAGCTCTGACTTCTGTTTAGCACAGCAGAGGTAAATAAATCACAGGAATGATGAGACAAATCAAAACATCAGGAATTTGGGGAACGTGAAACTACCTGTCTGCGGGCCTGACGTACGCCGGCGAGTTATTTAAATGACAGACAAACAGCGGGAAGTGAGCGCCCGCGTGCCAGGATGCTTATGAGTGTGCCGTGGAGCGTTACCTTTATCTAACACCGGCCCGAAAATGGCCAGATTGTCATTGACCGTGGTGCAGTTCCAGCGCCGGCCTCTGAACTGGTGCTGGCACTCCTGAATGCCAATCTTGACCCCCTCGGCCACACTGGGCATGATTTCCACATAGTTCCGGCAGAAACGCAGCTGTTTGGGCACCAGACCTGGTATGCTGCCACAAAGGATAGGTTGAGTCCCCAGTGATGAGTACTGGTGGCCCACCGCTAGTGACCTACAAGACGAGAGGAAGTCACATTGTCAGTGCATTTTCGTAATTATATCTTATTTTCCGATCCGTCTGTGTCTTTATCTGCCGATATAACTCCTCTCAAGTGGGAGACTAATTTCCCTCCTGGTGCGGCGTAATGTTATGTCTGAGCAAACTTGATTGTGTGTGTTTATTTGCTGTATCAGATGCTACCATTAGGCGTCCGTCCTTTATCCCTTCAACTACCCTCTCTTGCAGACACCTGGCCTTTGTGTGTATTGAAATTGCAGCCCTGCTACCGCAAGAAGCAGCCAGTGTTTCTGTTTAAGATGAAAGTCCACAATGCATCTCGAGGTCTTCATAGACCTTAAGCTGACAACTCGGAGAACTGCACCTTGTTATTAACTGTCCGCACACTTAACAGGCCTTCAGCTTAGGGTAATAAGAGTGCAAACCCAACATTGAAACTTCAGAGAGTGTATTAAGAGTAACACAGAACCCCCCCCCACCCCTCCTCCTCCTTTTCTTTTTTCCTTTGAGGAAGGTATTCTGGGATACAACAAGTGCAAACTTGGTTCACTGATTACATCTCTCTGTCTTCATGCCTTTATTGCTTTCTCTCTGTCTTTATTTTCTGTGTCCTCTCAATTAGGACTTTGTGTAACTAGTAATCATAGAAATGGGACATCCATTGTACCGCTGCGCAGCATGTAATTGGACCAATTTTAGGAAACTTTTTGGCTGTATTTGACTTGTGCGTCTGCGTTGTGGCGTTTCCACATCACACACTGATTTCTACTACACTGCTCGAAACTTTTAGACACTTCTGAATGATGCACACAACCAGGGAGACGTCCGCTCGGTCCCAAACTCATCCTGCAGCACGTCACCGAGCCAAAACAAAGACTTTTTTTTTTTACAACCCAGCCCTGATCTCAGCGGTTGTAAAAACAGTTCACGGCGTTATTTTAAAGAGCATCCTCATTAAACCCTTTGTACTGCAGGTTTACAAGCGATTAATGGGTTTCATCCAGACACAGAGCTCTCTGTTCAGGAAGATATAATTGCAATTTAAATAAATAAATTACTGCTTTTCTTCACATGCACAATCCATTGACTGGGGTGTTTGCCTTCTATGATAAGTTACCAAAATCAATATTTTGCTTCTTTTATACTGTCACAGAACAGTCAGATTATTTAATAGCAGAGTTCCTATTATGTTTGGCAAAAGCCCTGGAGAGTAACTACAAAGTAGGTTGCTGGCAATCCAGACAGGTCCGTATTTCACATCAACTGTCTATTAAAGACTGAAACACTAGCAGCGGCGCTCCGATGATCCTCCCTGAGTGATAAGGCCTTGATAACAGTAGCTTTTCCACAAAGGAAGCTCCAGAGCAGGTGTGCGGTGTTTTGCAGCTCACTTAGCTCAATATCTGCTGACCCGTTCACTGTTGTTCAAGGACTAATCGCTGATCACAACAAGATTACCAAATTCCTGACACTGGCCCTCAGGCCGTGTTTTTTTTTAAAACCTCACAGTTTCCCAGAAAAAAGATCTCCTCAGCCAGATGACCCCATGCTGACGGCTGACGGTTGGCTTCCAACATGCTGACCTTGAATACCTCATGAAGTCCTGAAGTTTAAAAGCTGATTTCAGTCAGTTCACTTCCAACATAAGGTGCCTTTAGCTGACCTGCTGAGTGAACCCCCGAGCAAATATTAGTGCAATGCATCACCTTGGTTTAAGCAGAATTTCTTGCCTAATTTCTACAGAACAGGCCGCTGTAGACCTCTGCCGTACATGAGGCATCCACTCAGCAAGCAATGGCAAGTTGAAAATGACTCCAGAGGAAGTGGCATTTGTCTGCAGTTTGTCTGCTACATCAGTAAACAAGTCTGCTCTTATTGCACATTGACCTTATTTTGTCCCCTGTCACTCCATCCACCCTGAAGCACTTCATTCCAGCCAGAGACCTGAGGTCATGTAGTAAACTCGTACAGAGCTTTGGTTGTCCCCCAACACACACAGTAAACAGAAATGCAAGCAAAAGAAGTCATATTAAACGATTCCTCAGAGGAACGTCAATGTGAGTTTTTAATGGGTTTGAAGGGAGGCTTGAACCTCAGCATCTGTTTCCTCTGCAGAGAAGAAAGCTGTGGCATCTTTGTAGGCATTTTTAACAACCGCATCTTTTTAAAAAAAAAAAAAAAAAAAAAACTTTGCATGTATTGGAATTGCCTGATTTTGAGTTGGAAGTTGCACGGTGGCACAGTGGTTAGCACCGTTGCCTCACAGCTAGAAGTCTCCATAAGGACACCCGGGATCTTTCTGCATGTAGTCTCCATGTTCTCCCCGTGCAGCGTGGATTCTCTCCGGGTTCTCCGGCTTCCTCCCACAGTTCAGAAACATGCTGAGGTTAATTGGTGATTCTAAATTGTCTGTAGGTGTGAATGTGCTTGTTTGTCTCTCTGTGTAGCCCTGTGATAGACTGGCGACCTGTCCAGCCCACCCACGACCCCAGTGAGGATTAAGCGGTGTAAAGATAATGGATGGATGGTTCTGAGTATGAACAACTGCCTAATAGTGCAGGTCATATAATCTGTTATCAAGGCAGGAACATCATCTGAGAGTCTTTAATGATCCTCTGTGCTTGTTATGACTATACCTGTGAGGACCGATTTGCGTGCATTTCTGCCAGGTCATCTTCTTGAACCGTGTCACACAAAAATCATCATGAGTCACTGTGCTCAGGCTGCTCCACTCATACCTCCCTCTGTCTCAGTGGGGCTGAGTAATCCATGCCACCTCTTCCTGTGTTAGGAAACGGCCTGTGAGTGGAGGCCGGGCATGTTCCACCAGGGATGATTTATGATTTTTTAAGAGGTTATTGCACAAAGCACAGCGTTGTTGGATGCTAACTACAATAGCTTTTTAAACTAGAACTGCCATGTGGTGTTTTGATTTTAGGCATTTATTGAGAGCTTTGACTTCAGTCTTTCTAATTCCTTCTGAAAAGTCAATTTCTCTCCTCAGAGTAGCTGCTCTAGAGAGAATCTGATCAGCACAACTGATGGACAAACAGAGGAGAAGATTTGAGATGTTGAATGAACGCTTCAGTGAAAAACTTTTGCAAATAAATACTTAAAACATATATGATATTCCATTTTTTGTCTCAGAACAGACTTTCCCCCTCTCATCTAAGTGTATCCAGCACAGGTTTAATGCATATTTCAGCAAGCCCAAGCAGGGTGCCTTAGAATTACCACTTTACTTGTGGGCCCTGAGGCCTTGGAGCCGACTTTGACATCAAGAGAATATGTTTGGGAAAAGGAATGTGCGGCAAGCTTTCACCTCCAGGTATTTATCTTCTAAGGTGGGGTGGACTAGAGAAGGAGGTGGTGGGGTGGCGGGTGCAGCCAGGCTATGTCATGGCAGGTCGAGAAGAAACAGACATGAACCTGTCTTAGTGCTGATCCGCGTCCCTGCACACTACTATGTGCGATGCACCTCCGATGGCCACTTGAAGACGAGTCCAGCGGCTCCCGTCACCAAAACATCCCAAAGTGCTGCTCGCAGAAGCGAAATCTCTTAAGATAACCGGCATGCTGTTTAGCAAACGCAGAGACAATGGAGGCGTATTGAGTGCAATCCGAAAGGAACCGCGTTATTTGACTTGGGATGAGTTGCTATGAAACACAAAATACATGTGCAGCCTTTCGAGTACAAAAAAAGTTCAGCGTTACGTCAAGACAGCAGAACTGAAAGGTGACTCCATGTGCTGCTTCTGCAGTGTTGGTCGTGCTTTTGCTGCTCTCTTTGTGTTTACTTGCTGCTTCTGTAGCTACACTTTTCATTCACTGACCTGAGCAACCCTCCAAAAATCAAACCATCAACACAGAGGTTCACTCTTGGCTTGCTGCAGACTTTCAGTTATGACAGAATGGAAAGCTGTATTCCATTGTGTCATTCATAGCTGACTCCACAAAAACCAGGAAAAAAAACAACTGTCCTGTTCTGTGGACTGAAATTCAAGTTCCTTTTGACGTGCACTGGCATCCAGCACAAGTTCAAAAGATGCTTATATCAGAAGATAAAGCACACAAAGTTCATCAAACAAGTTAGAGATAATAAAGCAGCAGTGAGCTGATTTAGGTCCGTTTTTTTTTTTTTCTTTCCTCCCCATCTCTCGGTCCAGTGGCTCACTGTTATATCAGGATTTCCTTCCAGCTGAGCATGTAATTAGTTTCTCATCAGTCTTACCACCAGGGGACCCATTAAGGGAAGCAGATTAGGGTACACCCAATTTCTGTGCAGCCCCAAATATTGAATGATTTATTAGAAATCAGGCATCATTTGCTGTTTTGGTGTCGTAGGGACGGCTGTGATTGATGTGTGTGGCTGATGGATGAAGCCTGAACATAAAGCAACAAGACAGGAGCTCCTTCTGAAGGTGCAACAGCCCATTTATCCCCCCAGAATTAATAAAATATAAATACACAGTGCTAATTTGTGAGCTGTCACACTTGAGTTTCTTAGCTGTGGGACTAACTGGGCATCATTCATTTACAGTGATATTAATGCATGCACTGCAGCGCCTCGTGGCTTTTTGTGTGATTTTCTAAAATACAGGAAAGACTTCATGTCATTGTCATGCAGTTTTTGATTTTCAAGGACATTTGGAAGAAGCTGAAGAATTAAATCAGCGGCAGATTGTGAAAGTGACAAACAAACTACAACTTGGCAAGAAGCAAAACCCTCAATTATGATTTTGTTCCTACTGAAGAGGGAACCAAAATTCAGTTGTTCCAGATGCCTGATTCATAACATCACCATCAGGTATCACGAGGTTTCATTCATGCACAGTATTTATTACTCGTATTTTTACGCATCACTAAACCCTGCAGGATTTCATCATTGCTCTGTGCCACTTCGACCCCCCCAACAACGCACACACACACACGCTCGTGGACGCGCATACACACGCGTTTGCAAGCACACAAACTTTGCACCTGCTGCACGCTGAATTTGAAAATTGCTCTGGATCAAATCGCTGCAAATGTCGGGGTTCACAGCATTAAAACGAAACTTAGAGCTCAGCCAGAATCCTGCTTCTTCCTCACTTAGCTTTGGTTTCTATGGATTTAACAGGTCTGCTGTCTTTCTAACATCCCACCTCGTCCTAAAGTCAACCTTTGCACCTTTCCTTTATTCAAACGTCCCAGCGAAGTGAAACTGGAACAAGTTTGCCATCAGTGCGCACAAGCGTCGCGCCGCTGTCAGAAACAAATCACAGCTCCAAGCTCTCAAACTGACGCACAACTGGATCATCACACAGTTTCCTAACGCGTAAATAAAAAGCGTGTGTCGCCCTTTGTCCAGAGAATAAAGGAAAATCAAACTTACCACCAGATGGGATAGCTTGCCATGACATGCGTGAGCCCACAGAGCAACAGGAAACATCCAAGGTATATCATCCTTAAAGTTTCGCAAAACATCTCCAGCACAAAGCTTACATGCGCGCACATCCGCGCACACAGATTTAAACAGAAGAGCAAAGAAAAAAAAAATCTGCACTGATGGATTTATAATTTCTGTCCTCCAAAAGAAAAAGAAAAAAAGAAACAGCCGAAGGAAAATCTATCTTTCGCGACTACTCGTGGCAGAACTCGGGAGCCAAATATTAAAAGTTAAAAGCTGCTTGCTGCTTTTTTTAGGACCCAATCAGCAGGTATTGCCAAAGGGGGAATTCTGATGATATGTTCCCTCTGTTGGCTTGTCAGCCGGTTTGAACTCAAACAGCAGAACGAGCTAATTTTAAGATGTGTTTTAGTGCTCATTGAGAATTGGTGGCATTAGCATGCAGTGTGTGTGTATATATAATGTTGTTTAAAGGAGAGAGGGAGGGTCTGGAGGATTTTAAATAGACATCGGAACCCCTGTGGATTGCGTAGCTATAACAACCTGTCCGGATTTCACTCCCTGGCTTGAAGCTTCTAAAATGCAGAAATAAATATGTGTGAATTGCTTAAGACCATTATGAAGGTCTGCAGCTCTTTATTTGTGCCTGTTTGTCATGAATGTAAAATTAGAAGTTTAGAAAAGTTCCTCAGGAGCTGATTGGTTGGCAATGGGATGAATAGAAACAGATAATTCCGAAGTAATTCCTAATAATTAAACATTTTTGATTCATTTAATTATTTATATGTGGAGAAAAAAAATCACACATTTTATGTTCTATAAAAATATTTAAAAGATTTCACACTTTGAGCATTGATTGAGAGGAAACGTTCTCCTGACACAACATGAAGAGCCCAAATTATAAAGCTGTCTGCTTGATAACAGAATGCTTTTTTCAATGAAAACATCCCATAAAATTGGCTGCAGCTCTGAGATTAAATGGCAAACTGCTTGTTTTGCCATTTCAATGTCAAGTGGCTGCTGATAGCTGATCTGAGAGGAGGTGGACCAGGTTTACAGACACTGATGCTCATCTTAAGACAACATCAGTGACTAATCGAAGAAAAAGTGGTCAAAGTGGTTCAAATGAATCGTTACTGCCTCAATGTTCTCGTTAACACTTGACGTTTCGTTGGCTCTGGAATGATCCGGACAGTGGTGACTTTTAAATAATAAATAAAAGGCACATCAAGTCAGTGGACTGTCGTGGTCTTAGAGGAGCTGCAAGTGAAATAGCATCAAAATATTTGCAATTACAACAGCAGCAACAACTGTCAGTGCATATTAATGACGCCTAATGAGCAGTAATCTTCTCCAGACTGCTGCTGAAGAGAGTCAGCAGAAGCATTTAACAGCAAAGACAGTTCTCACAGTTGAGAAACACTCCCTGCAGCACCGACTAGATCAGACTTTTTATGTAAATATTGGTTTTATTGCACAGATTCAGCTGCTCCTTGAAGTTTATTTCAGCTATTACATCTCCAAATATATGCACAGTGTACCTGCAAGTCTATTTTTTTTAATACCTCGAGCAGTTTCTTAAACTGTTTGATGTGCCCTCAATCTTTTCTTTTGTGTCTCCTCCTCCACTTAAAGCTACCCTATTTATTAGTTTTCAACATTTATGCTATGCTCATGTAATAAACCTTAATGAGTGGCCTGGAGTCAGAACACTGCAGTCCTCTCACCTCTGGAGGGGCTGAGCACACAACGTGTTGGTGCCATCTAGTGGAGGTGGAGGTTCATTGCAAACCTGGCAAAGAACAAAAACACTGCTTTTATATATTACAATAAAGTTCTGAACAGTGTTAAATGACCCCTACATTACATTAATATTTATTTTTCTGCTTGACAGATGAATTTGCATAATAATACATATGATAACTGTATGAATTATAAATACAGTGCTGCACATGAATCAGCCCTGTTAGTTCAAAATAGGTCAGATCACACACATCATAAAACTGCTGCTTACAGGTTTATGCACGTCAGGTTGCAGCTCGCTCAGCTCCTGCCCGAACTTGAAAATGGCCTTTTTAACCTCAAGAACCCTCTGGTACCGACATACACAGAGATCAAGCTGTCCGACGCTGTGAGAAGGACTGGCTTGGATGCTGCGAAGAAGATGGCGTCTCATGAAGAAGACCTGTGCAGGAAGGGGAGCTCCTCAGAAGTCCAAAATAAGAATCCAACAGGAGTGAGACAGTCAGAGGTGGAACAGACAGCAGGAAAAGACATAAACTTACAGAGGAACAAGATTAATTCGTCGCTGAACTCTCCTCAGAAATAGCTGACAAATGCATGAAGGCTTTTATCAACCTGGGCCATAATGACAAACAGTGCAGGAAAGGATCAGTTTGGATGATTGAGGCAAATGGGTTGGAAGAGCTGCCACTTATATTTATGTTATTAGAATCACTGCCAAGCCAGGGCAGAAAACTGGAACCCTGAAAGACTCATCATCAGCTCAGACAGGACACTTTGTCACATTTAGCCATTTGTTTTGGAAGGATTTTGTGTTTGGCGGTGACTCAGCTCGAGTGATGCTCTGCAATAATCTGAGCAAGCAGGACACAGACAGACCCTGAGATCACAACTGCCTGCAGTTCTCAGACAGGTGTGTGACCGAAATCACTTTGAAAAGAGTGAAATGATGCATTTTAATGTCAGAACTGTCCAAGATGACCAAGGACCCGTCTTCCTCCACCAGCTGCCTTTCTCTTTAAAACACACAGAAGTTAAACAGCTTGTTTTACGCATCAGACTGACTGGCAGAGACACTGAAGTTATAAAAGTATTGCTTTTCACCAATATAGCCAACATGGTAGCTGCTCATGCCAGTTAGAGCGACAGCAGCACAGCTTCATGAATTACTTGCACGAATAAGACCTCTTGAAATTTTGCCCTCCCAGTCTGAAGCCCTGAGTGGGACTGAAGCCTCGTGGTCATGAGGAGCTGATGAGCCGATGATCAACTTTGCTGGACCAGACTAATTTTAGTTTTATCTAAAAGCTTCCAAAGCTACCTTAAACACAGTCGTTGTAATATTTTATAGCCTTGAATTGTGCTCTTGAGAAGACCAGATGTTTCAACACAACCATCAGAACTTTTCCTCCACAGCCTGATTCAGATGAACAAACCTCAATTTAACCAGATTAACATCATGACCTGCAGTATGAGGCTACAGAGGTGAGGCTGGAGGAGAAGGGCCACCAGCAGGGGGCGCTGAAGCTACAAGTGGCGCGACGATGACGTCACTACAGTGGGCGGAGTCAGAGGACTTGAACCCGGAAGTTGTGTGGCAGGTAAAAGGCACAGAGAAAACCTGGATTTCGGAACTTGAATTAGAGTTAATGGTGTTTAGAGGAGAGACTGGTGAGGAGACATGACGAGGGGAGGACTTCCGGATTAAGAGGGCTAAATGTCGGATGGATGATGAGCGGAACTGGGACGTTTTCTGATGTGGATTTAAAGGTATGAACCAACAGTAGCCGAAGCAGATCAAAAGTCTGTGCTTGGAGGTTGGAGTTGACTGCTAGAAGCTCTTACCGGATTTTAAAATTGTCTGAAGAGATTCAGAACACGTGATCGTCAACTTCGGTTTGTCAACTTTGGTTGGAATGCTGCGGTTCTGCTTTAAAGACGGATCCGAACACGATCACAGTCAGAAGGTAGGAACAAATCTACAAACACTGAGTTTTATAACCTGCATGAGAAGATCTCTGAAGAGGAGATGAACTGTCGAGGCTGGTGGAGCAGAATGAATGAATGAATGAATGAAGCTGCTGGTTTTAAAGCAGCTCAGTGGGAGGGCTGGACTGAAGGAGGGAACGATTGGACAGAAAAGAACCATGTGACACCCTGACGTCACGTCTACCTGAACTAACATAAAGGCTCTATAATCAGATGCTGAGCAGTTAAAAGTTTTCTTTAGTCATCATTGGAGTTGAAGGAATAGCTGTTAAAACCAAAAGACATCCACTCAGAGTGAGACTTAAGACACCAAAGCTAACACTAACCCATGTCAATATTTGTGCTTTTGTCACTTAATTTAATTTAGTTGTGCTTTTTTTTTTTTTTACCGGTTCGCAGGTCGTGTCGAGGCACTTCGCACAGCGAGGTGAAGACATTACACTAACTTTGTTATAGAGAGAAACCCAACAAATCCAAATGCTCTTTGGTGACAGCAAGAAGAAAAAAACTCTTTAACAGGAAGAATCCTCCAGCACAACCTGGCTCATGGAGGACCTGTCTTGGTGTGAGGGTTAAAAAGGAATCAAATAATCAATAACCAAACTCTGACAATAAAGGTGCACATTGGAGCAGCAGAGGGGGGAAATCTGGGAGCCAGAGCTGCAAGGAACTGAGTCTTGTTTTCTTCCCAGTAGCTGTCAGCACTGGTCCAGAGGCCAAGCCAGTGAGGAGAATGTGATGCCTGGTCAGCTAATGGCACCTGAACGTATGTATGGAGGAACTACCAGAGAGGGGCGCTCATATAGTTCCAGAAGATACGAGTTCTAACATGTGTTATGATTTCTACATTGAAATAGCCACACAATCAGCATGTGTTTGGAAAAATAAATCCATTCAGTGACAAACTGTAAACTGGCTTATTTTACATTTCATCTCCATTAACAAGCTTCTCACTGTCCATGCAGGTTTTCCCCACCTACCAGGACATCAGGGCACCTCGCTGTGCCCACACTGACCTCACTGCGACGGTGATGTCATGTAGAAAAGCACCCACAGCAGCGAGTCGTGTCCGTCCAGCGAGTCTTGTCATTGCTCTGCATCACAGGCCTCCATCAGGCCTCCGTTTGACACAACGCAGCCACGCTAACGTCACGCAATGCAATAATATTAAACTAATCACCAGTTCATTACTTCACTCGCTTTCCACAAATATTTTCCTCATGTGCCACCAAGCTATTAATGCTCTTTTGTGCACTTGAGTGTCATCACTTAAAGAAAAAAAATGAACAAAAACAGCTTTTATTAAAGCTGCTAATGCACATAATTCAAAATCTGAGTTGTGTACAGATGTGACGGCGCCACTAGATGTCAGCGT